AAAGAAAAAATGCAAATTGGTTGACTTTCTATGGCAGAAGAAACTGTGCAAGTCTCTCCTGCCATGAAAGCTTCTTTTTACCAATTTTTTGTATGTACGCTAAGCCGTGCATGCGCAGCTCAGCACACCTACACAGCATACCCAAATGCCCAGCACATCAAGATGAAGCAACTCCTGTGTGCATGCGCACATCATTGGGGCCCAGCTAATCAAGCAGCTGAAAGCAAAACCCAGGAGAGGACCGAGCCAAAGATGGAAGCGCCAGAGTGGGAGGATCTCAGCGGTGGAGGGGATCAGTTTGGCAGCTAATATATGCTGTGCATACTAACATATCATATCATATCAAAAGCTCCTGAGGGCCCCCTTTTTTTTAATCTAGCTTAATATACACTTTAATTGTCCAATCATCAGACTGGGGTGGGTTGGTGACCTTGAAATTACTTTAAACAAGTAATTTAATTAAAAATATTTCTAAAAGTACGATAAAATTTTGCATTTTTTGTGTTCACATATTTAAATATTTACTTATGTCTGGAGACCATTGCTGAAGGCACTAAATAATATTTTGACATTGATTACCTGCTACATAGTCTCCAAATCCAATAGTGGTAAGTGTGATGACTACAAAGTAGATGGACTCCAACAGGGTCCATTGCTCAATTTCCTGGAAGATTAAAGTTGGTATAAGAACGAAGAGGACACAACCAATGAGGATGAAGAGAAGGGCTGAGATGACCCGTACAATGGTAGGAGACACACGCCATTTCTGTGAAAAGGTAGAAAGATGGGAGCTAAACACGATTTGCCTAGGCTGAAATGATACTTCAAGTAAAAAAGAAGAAACACACCACAAAGTTAAGAAACAGTTTATTAACTATGAAGTTCTTAGGCTTTTTAACCACTTGAAGACAGGGGTGTTAAAGAAGAACTATGGGGTAAGTGTTTTTCCACATAGTTCTCCTAAGGGTCATGGGAGGACATAAACTAGCGACCTATCGTGACCCAAAGCTCAGTATATCGCGAGCTACAGCTCGTGGTATACTGAGACCCCCGCAGCCAGGACGGATCCCGACATTACTGTTGAGATCCACACTGCTGTGTAAGTGACAGCTGGCTCTGCCTATCTAGAGGCAGATCCAGCTATACCCGCCCCCTCCCCCGTCCATTCCGCCAGTCAGCGCTGGAGGATCGGACAGGGGAGGGGGGGAATCCCTGCAGGGAGCCATGAGTGACAGTCACCGCTCTCTGCTGGGACATGATCGAGAAGTGAGCGAGCGACGGTATGCGTTCGCTCACTTCCCGATCCAGTGAGCCAATGTGTGACAGTTTCATTGTCAGACGTCGGCTCGAACTATGAGGCTGAGTGAAAATCACTCACCTCATAGTTCTCCTTTAAACCCCCCTTCCTGTCTAGGACATTTTTCAGTATTCAGCATTTTGACTGGCATTTATTCAGTCATGCAACGTCGTACAGAAATTATTTTTTTTGGGACAGATAGAGCTTTCTTTTGGTGGTATGTAATCACCACTGGTCTTTTTATTTGATTTTTTTTACTATATAAGGAAAAAAGTACAGAAAATTTTGTAAAACAAAAAACTGTTTTCCCTATGTTATCTAATGAAACATTTTTGGGTAAAATATAAAAGATGGGGTCACATTGGGTAAATAGACACCAAACATGTAAAGTCTTAAAATCGCGTGTATCTGTGAAATTGCAAAATACTACCATACCCAAAATTGCCCATAGGCGAAACTTTGAAAGCTTTTACTGCTGATCAGTTTAGTGTTAACAGTGATTGATGGCACTAGAATTATTGCTCGCACTCTGACATTCACAGTCATATTGAACATGTGTGGGGCAATTGCCGTTTTCGCATGTAGGCGCACCCGACGCATGTATATGTGTGTACGTGGGGGGCAGGGGACTTTAAAAAACGTTTTTGTGTTTTTCTAAAAAAAAATTATGTGACTCATTTGTTCACTTTTTTCTAGTTACTATTTTTTTCTTTAACATAGGGGGCTAACAAGTTCCCTATGTGATAGCACAGATATAGTGACAGGCAGGGCCGGCCTTTGGGGTGAGCTGTGCGGCCGCACAGGGCGCCATGGCAACAAGCGCGCCTGGCGGCCGACACAGTTCGTCCTCAGGGCGGCTACAGCCTGCGGTTTCTCTCCTCCTCAACGCTCGACCATCCGACAATACAGCGCTCCCGCCTCCTCCAGGGTTGTCACCCTTATCTTTGCTTCTCTGCCTAATGAGTCACTGGCCTGGAAAATGTCTGGAGCTAGTGAAAAGTCAGGATACCTAACATGACCTAGCAGTGAAACTTGAATAACCTAAGCAGCTGCAAAGTGAAGTCAAACCATAGGTTATTGGGCTTTGTCTTTAGACTTTATATAGACTTATATAATGAGTTCTGTCTGCCCTGTTTTGTAGTCTTTCGCAACCCTCCTAGAAACTAATACACTAACAGACTGTCTCATGTGATTTTCTGTCTGCACAAAGTCCCAAGCACAACTCTAAATCTAATTTCAAAAGCACAAAAAATTCAATTTCGGTGCGGCAAATCAATGGCTGAGCTCTTTCTGAGACAAGGTTCAGTTAATGTATCTCTATGCAAATACCTCCAGGGACAGTGAAATAGAGACAAGTGAGCAAAACTAAACACCAGCATACACCAACACCTTCATTTAGAAGTAAATGTTTAAAAGATATAGTTGCTAATACAAGTGAAATGCAGGTTCATAATTCACATTGGAAAACAGAGAAGACATAAATTGACAAGCCTGTAAACTACAATGGACCACCAAAATGAAGGGTATCTAACCCCCCAAAACAAAAATGTAATATATGTCAACTTACCAATCATTAGGTCTGGTGGCTGCATTACTTTTTTTTCTTTATGCTTTGTTTCATTGATTTTCACATGGTGATCTGGCCAGTAACACACTTCCTGTCCTAGGGTGACCATGCTCACTCAGCTTACTGTATCTATGGAGGAGCAAGACAGGACTACCAAACACACCCCCTCTGTAACATAGAAGGGATGTGTTGAGTAATCCACAGAGATAGCTGGAAACAATGCTAACTGATACCAGTCAGCAGAGGGAGAACAAAAAGTTCAGCTTACAACGTTTCTGGCAGGATAACCAAGTATATATTTGTACTTATTGAACAGATATAACATAATTTCAATTGTTTAATTAACAGATCAAAAGGGAGCACAAAGAAAAGGTCATTGTTGATATACCATTGGTCTTAGATTTATGTGACGTTTAAAGGAATGATATATTGTGCTTTTTGTGAGCACATATTTGGGAGCATGTATTTTGTAACACATTTTCCATGTGCTTATCTTGAAGTTACCCTTTCTTCAACCCATGCAGGATAAAGTAACACAGTCACTTAACATATCTACTTCCCCAGCAACATAAACACACACACCTCTCCTCACTCTGTTCTGCTGTCAGTAGCGGGGAAAGAAAGCCGGTGTAAGCTCCAAACTGACTTGTCAAGAGCTTATACAGAGCTATAGACTTTCCTCCAGATGTGACAAAGCTGAGCCAGTCATGAGGCACCAGTGCACCATGTGATTAACAAGCTCACCCATACCCACAGTCACCCTTTGCTGTCAGTGGTGAAGGGAGCAGCAGGCAGTGAAGGAAACGTGCTGGTTGTGGTGTAGGAAGAAAGTTGAGTGACAATTTACTATTTCCTGCAAAAACATAGCAAAGGGTCACTTTAAAGTATTGTTTACATGCTTGTTCTTCCATATATTTCTTACTTTATATATTCTAATTTAGATTAGCCATTAGAGGCAAAGGAAATCA